TGTTTGCCCCCATAGTGTGGTTCATTTGGGCAGGTGTGAACACAGCAATTGCACTCAGGTGTGCACCAAAACAACTGGACTGAGACCTTCTTAAAGAGATGGTCTTGGTCCTGTTACAAACGAACTCTGGTGCGGTTCAGTTGTGGGGAGAACGTGTTCCGACCTCGATCCGAACCAACTGCAGTCACCTTACACATTGTTTGGGTTAAACCTGAGCATGTTACAGTCCTGGAGGATTATTAATGTGCGCCTCCTCCTGTACTGCCTTAATATGCACATTCAACACATCCAATGCATCAAAACATTGTTTTCTAGTTGGAGCCACGCCTCATTTTCAAACTGTATGGTTTGACTAAAATGAACAATGACAGCAACATAGTCCACGATGAGCAACACTAAAATCAACCTGTGTAGTTGTCCCTCCATTGTGACATTAGAAAGTGTCACATTTATCTTGCAAGTGTACTTTTCTTCAATGTTTTGTTTACTTCCTGTATTTTCCCACATTGAAATTCTGACAAATTAACAGCAGCTTTCTAGTGCAAAGCTTTTTTTCTGGTCTGCTTGTAAATGCTGCCGTGAGAACAAGAACCAACTCTAGGCAATTATGCAACTTTGAAACAAAATAAGTCTCTGATTGGACCAAAGCAAGACAACTCTAGCTCTGAAAGTACCCAAACTTAGCTCTGAAGAAGCACAAAGAAATTTTGAAAGAAGCACAGGAGTGGCATACTGATGATGTCAGAGGGCTTTGATTGGGTGATTGCAATGTTGGTCCAGGAACGCGACAGGATGTTGATCCCAGGAACATGTCTTACTTGGCAAAATAGCGTCGAGCAATTATTCAGTATTATAAGCAGGTAATAACGAACTATAAGTTTAGTTCAGTTCAGAAAACTTTACTGGTCCGAAGAACGCAATTCATTTGCAGCTTCACCCAGTCCATACAATACCTGAAACATTCAAAACTAAAAAGACTCACAGGTGAGGCAGTAATATGTCCGAGACACAGGTTACATAGATACCAGGGAATACCAGGGAACAATGAATGAATAAAATAAAACATTTGTTACAGTTCATGTAAATAACTGAGTTCAATAAATGTAATAGTCATTTTAAATGTAAGTATAAATAAACATAAATGTATAAAATAAGTGAACCTCAACAATTCACTTCAAATGACACTTCAGTATTTAGTTGCCTGAGAGCAGAAGGAATGAAGAACTTCATAGTAAGCCAGCGGTTTCCCCTCTGGAGGTGCAAATTATAACGCCAGCCTGACGGCATTACAGTTAATTTACTGGACAGAACACGGTCTGATATACTGATTATTCCTTTTGCTTTTTGAGTCACCTGTTTCTCCGCTCAGCTGGTGCACAATTCTCTTTGCTGGGCTCAAATTTTCTTGGATAATACTTTCACAATAACATGGGCTATTCTTGTCTTTCTCAGATAAGCCATTAAACCAGCAAATAAATAAGACAATTGAAAGGCTTTCAATAAATGTTTGACAAAACAATACATAGAATTGTATAACAGACTGTATGTAAGTCTGTTTATAATGCGTTATAGACATAGTTGTCATAGAAAATGTTACGTTTTGGTTTCACAGCCATAAAAATGCAGTTATAGCTCAGAAACATGCGCCTCAGTTGATGGATATGCCGAGTCATGTCTCACTTCATTATCGGTCAGTCACATGTTCATTGAGCTCACCGCACTGTGTGCAGGGGTGAAAACATGAAATGCTTTTAGATTAAAGTTCAATATAAAACAGTGTGTGAGCATTACATAATGTGTCCTTCATTTGTGTAACACATAATGACGGGATCAACACAATATGAGCGGTACAAAATAACACAATTAAATAACCTATAGAGGCTGGCAATATTAAAACATTCAGGAAAAAGTCTCATTGAGGATTATATCATTGTTATTTTGTTAAAACATTAAAAAAAAACACTTTCTTTAAACATGACAAACATTCATCAACATGTCTCTAAAAGTTTGTATCACAGACATATTGTACTGCATTAGTGTAAAGGTGTTATTGTGTCCACCCACTAATTCTCTAGATACATCTAAGTTAATCTAAAGTGTAAGTTAGTGATCATTTGTATGTACATCAGATGTTTTACAAATGATTCAATGTTATTCATCTTGAAACTTTTAAAGGCGAACTGGGGGCCACAACGCCTCCCTTCAGCTACATTAACCCTTACTGCTGAACTCACCCAGAAGACAGACCCACAGTACTCGTCCAGAGCTGCAGCACACATGGTCCACACTGATGGCTTCAGTCGCGCTCGGATGACTAGACAACCAGACGCCTCTTGCCTTTTGCTCCGCTGCTGCCGAGCCGGACTCAAACGCCTCTTCTCTCTCCCCTGCCCACCCACACTCCAGAGACAATTACAGGATGTGACTCTGAGGGACTTTGAGCCATGAGGCTTTTAAAAAGAAATCGCACCTTGCAGCTTTCTTGTGCAGAGAAAACACATAAGTATACCAGATAAATATCAAGAGCAGACTGGTTAATGCTTCACTTGACTGCTGAGGTCCTCTGTGGCTTGATGCCTGGAAGAAGCACACACACGCAGTCCTCCTGATGGGTGAATGAGAGAAGTCAACAACTGCAGTCTAAGTAGTTCAGATAATCCTGTCCTGCACCAGCCCACAGACACTCCTTGACACTCAGATGTGTCTAAAGTTCAGCATTTCAGGCAGCGTTCCTGTGCTGTTTTTCCTCATGATGGGGGGACGGCCCACCAAAAATGGGAATGTGTTTAGGGAGGGGAGGGAGCAGGCTCATTAGACCCCTTTTCCTGTTGTGTTTCCACTTCTACTCTGCAGGCCTTCACTTTCTCTGGACGGAGACCAAATTTCATGTCACATCACATTAGTTTCAGGGAAGCATGCATCCGAAACAGCTCCAGAACATGAGCAGAATCACAACTTTGGTGCTGCTGTGCAAAATCTTTGTTTCTTTATGTGCCTTGTTGATGCTGGGCTATTTTTTTTTAAGAGACCACTCATGACGTAAATTGCTCCCAGACTCTTGCTCAACACAAACCACAGAAAGAAGAGGATTGCTGTTGGTGTTTATGTATGAATCTGGAAAGAGGAAGATGAGCACATGACACAAGAATGAATCATTAGTATTGCATTATTATGATCTACACGTGCCTCTAATGCAGCCTCATAGATGGAGATGTTAACACAGCAGAATCTTTTCAACTTTACACCATTAATTTCAACAAGAAAAGAGCTGATAAATATCCAGGTTAACAAGATGATCCTTGGTGGTGTCAGTATGCAAACATTATGCTAAAATGTGCTTACACTGCATTAGAGTGAAGTGAATACTGAGCATGACCCTGCAGACTTGTGTAATGAAGTAAATCAATTACATTTCTGCAAATGAACCCTTTACGAGTATGAAGAAGTGCTCCCTGACTGTGATGATCCCCAAACAGACAGCCTGAGTGAGGGTTAATAATTACATGTTTGATAACACCACATGGTCGTAATCTGACTCACTGTGTGTCCAGCCCCAAGGACAACCTTGTGACACGTGAAGACAACCCATATGTTATCGAACAGCACTGTGACTGAATTTGATTTACAAATCTATCACATGAAGCCTTTTTCCTTCGACTCAGTCGGAATGCTTGGTGCGTTATAGTGAAAAGTGTAGTTACTTTGTTAACAGGGACTTCAGCTAAAGCCGGCAGAAGCTTCTATGTTGACGGGGGAAGGCAAACACAGAGCACGGCTCAAACGGGGGATGGGACGGTTAGGGTAGAAAAGTGGCGCAATTTTGTAGTTAAGAAAATGGCAAAAAATAAATATTTGCTGCCGATAATAGGCCACAACTGAGGGTGATTTCAAACTGGAGATGTGTATAAACATTTGTCTGAAAACCTTACCAAGCCTGAGAGACTTTGCTTGAGACATTTTACCAATGTTGGCTATTCAAGATGAAGAGATCGCCTTATGGAAAATACAGAAAAGTGTCGGGATTGTTGACTAAATGATTAGTTGATCAACAGAAAATTAATCAGCAACAATTTTGAGCATTTTATTTTTGGTAACTTTTAAAGCAAATTAAAAAAATCCTCTGGTTTTAGTCTCTCAAATGTGAAAATGTGCTCGTTTTCTCGTTTTTCTAGAAACTGAATATCTTACAGACTAAGCGATTACTCTAAAAAACACGAGTTGCAGCCCATAGCTGTGGCCAGGGATAATAGAGGGAATGGGTGATAAAATTAGCTTACTCTCATACAATATGCAGTACACTGTGAGCCTGCTATGTTCTTTCTTCTGCGCTGCTTTAACACACTGTCTGTAAATGGGTAAACTTTATGGATACATTAACTTTCAAAAACTAAACATCAACCTCTTTGTTGTTTCTGCTCTCTGACCAGATGCAGCGGATACACGCCTGACTTTTATTCTAATACACTTCGTCATCAGGTAACTCAGTACACCCGCTTCTTGACACCACGGGATATGGTGTGCGTGTGTCTGCGTGAGTGTGTCTTCTGTTGAGCTGTATAGTAACATGTTATTGGGCTGCAAGGTTTATGGCACATAGTTTAAGTGCCCCACTTTAACTAGAGATTAACAAGGCTAATTGACCTTTGTGGTGTAAAATCATTTCTTGAGTGAGTTTTTCTATTCAAATAAGGTTTAAATCACAGTATGACACTGTTTAGAGTGACATGACATCATCTTATGTGTTTACAATGTTAGTGCCTCTTTGTTGAATGACATCACAGCTGCAATGACTCTCTCAGATTTGGTACTTCAGTTCAGCCTGGTTAAATATCAGTGAACATAAAGATAACCCTCCTCTTAAACCTCTTTAACAACAATTACAACTAGTGTAGCTGATGCATGATCATGCAACAGTATGGCCTAGGTCTTAAAGGAAATGAGTAACAGACTGGTTTTTACTGGAGGAGACATTTGACATTAACATTAAAAACACCGACTTCTTAAAATTTTGGACTTTAATTGAAATCTGTCACAATGTTTCTGTCCTTGCAAAAAAAAAAAAAAAAGTACAGGAGCTCACAACTTTTGTTTCCACTGTGAATAGAGAGTGTAAATAAATACAGGTCAAATATACAGTACATAAACTGGAAAACTGTTCTGACAACAGCAGCACTCAGCAGTGCTTTACCTTAATTTCAAAATGACAAGAATTTAAAATTAAGCAGTCTTTCGTGTATTTTATTACACTTTCTCTGAGGCCACACACAAGGTGTACTATAACTGAAAATTATTCTCTCCACTGTGAGATTCGTAGACTGCATATCCCAGAAGGTTGTGGGGCATTCCCTGAGCTCTTACTTAACAAGGACGGTTTGATCAGTGAGAAAAAAAAGCACTTTGTGGGCTTTGGTGAAAACAAATGTTGACATATCTGTGTGATTACTCATGATCTCTTCTGAGGTATCTGTTTTGTGTCTGTCATGATTGTGCAGTCCACATTCACATGGTGTTTCTGGCGATGGCATTAAGAGTGCGGACCTTGCTCACGTCTGCCACCTTCAGGCCGTACTCAGGTGCTGAGAAAGCTGCTCCCATTGTTACACAGTTGTTCCTGCACATTGAAACATTATGAGTCATGGAGCAACAACAAAAGGACATTGTGTAGTGTATGTACGCATGGGAAAAACAACACCTTCCAGCTGTTTAATTAATTGAGGCTGGATAGAAACATACCTGAACTTCATGGCAGAGTCCCGACTGGAGCGGGCTGAGCAGTGAAACTCTTGAGCCCCCGACCCCTCTAAAATTCTCTGCAGATTCCTCTCTGTGATACCCCCTCCTGTGTTAAAATAACCATAAATAACTGACAACAACAAAAACACACATATAAACTGCACACAAGAGAACAGTAAAAGCACTAACCTGGCATGACAACAATTCTCCCTTTAGCCTGTCAGGTGGAAGCAAAGGTGGGGAGCAGCACAGATCAGTAGCCATGCCATTTTCATTTGCTTGCATGCAAACGTGTATGCGCACATATAATTCATACATACCTGTTCAATGAGCCGCTTAATGAGGGGGAGTCCCTCCAAAGCAGAGTTGTCACAGCCGCTTGTTAACAGACGCTCGAACCCTACAGACACCAGAGTCTCCAGAGCAATCGTGGGGTCATGAACCATGTCAAAGGCTGCAGTAGAATCAATATCAGTTTAATAACATGAGTTCAGAAGTTTGTGGAGTCAATGATGAAATCAATTGAAAGTGCTCTGTGATATGTTTTTCAAGTCTGGTTACTAGAATTTCAAAAGTCTACATTTGATTTGAAGAAATACGTTGCCCCCACATGACCAGTTATATATCAATTACTCACCTCAGTGCTTCCAGAACACATGCATTTCCCTAAAACCTTTCTATTTACAAAATGTCCACATAAACAGTCTCAGGAGTGGACGAGAAGCGTGCCTGGGCTGTTTAAGCTGGAGTGTTTTAGGAGTAAGTGGTGAGGTGCTTCGCATACGACTAGGTAGAAGAAATTTGGACTATGAGTTGTGTGAAAGTTTGTGAATAGATGTTGTTATATTATTTTGCTGATGTTAAAGGCATAAGGAATTCTCTCCGTTTTTGGATTCTTTGATCACTGGAGGCATGCGAGAAAAACAAAGTCTTCTTTCCAAATTCACTGCAACACAGGGTGAGTAATTGATTTGCAAATGATTATTTACGCAGGTAAGTATTCCTTTACAGTAGAAGAACGTTACCTCTGTGGAAGGTGACAGGCAAAGGTCGAGCAGCAGCTGGTGAGCAGAAAGTGACAATCAGAAAAAAATTAATGGAACAACACCAAACCTAAAACAAAATATCAATTGCAATATCTTGTTGTGAGCCTACACGGTCTCTATGGCTAATTCAGTGCCACAGAGGAGACTCTGCTGACATAAAGCCCACAAAATTATCTCCTCCTCCATGGAGTCAGCCACATTGTCCTACAGTGGCCAAGAATGGACAAACAGAACACTAGCTCTAGACAGAGCCATTCGCACTTCCATGTTGAATACCATAGTTCTACACGCAATCTGCAACCTAACCACAAAATCCTACACACCGGACCTTTAAGTGAGCATCTTGGTTGTTCTTGGTTAGTGCCTTATTAACAGGCAGACGTTACCCAGTAACTCCATACAGAGCTCCTCGTCCACCCGTCCATCCTCAGTCAGGGCTCCCAGCACCAGTCCGTCGGCCCCGTGGCTCTTCATCAGCTCTATGTCTTTCCTCATCACCTCCACTTCCTGATCTGAGTACAGGAAGTCCCCCCCTCGAGGCCTTATCATCACGTAGACTGGAATTTTGACACACTGCTTCACTACATGCAGCAGACCTGTGGCAAGGCAAATAATGGCGGGATAATGTGATTTTATGTGCGTGTCTGGTCTCAGTAGATAGTCAAGAGTTTGGGGTTGTGTGTCTGTGGAGATGTGAGCTCACCTTGACTGGGAGTGAGCCCTCCCTCCAGGAGACTTGAACACAATTCAAGTCGACTTGCACCTGTCAGGAAATACAAATGCTCAGACTGCACCTAACTTTTTAAACACCTTTATTATCTGTGACCTCTGAGAAATGACAGTGCATGCCCATTTAATACTCAGCACTGACTTCATGCAAGACACCTGCCTGTATCACCTCTTTGCTGTACAAAGCAGGTCATGGAGGGTTAAATAAATAAGCACAACCGTGTTCACTACACAATACCAACCTCCTCGTTCAGCATTGATGGCAGACTCCACAGAGTCCACACACACCTCCATTAACAGTCTCCCTGCCATCCACACAGTCTGGACAGTGAGACAGAGACAGACAGGAAGAGAAAGAGATTACTGTGAATGTGTTGGCTAAAACGTCCACAAACATTTAGCTACTGTAACGACCACAACAACTACCTGTGCAGCCCACTTCCTATCGCTTCATGGGGCCGTATCAGTCGTTTGGAAAGCGATTTGAAGTCAGTACATGTTGTTTGGTGACTGATTAACTTCAGCTCCTACGCTCAGCCACTACAGTAGGTCAGCGTTTCCCGGATAGTTGAATTTCAAACACGGAGTCTGGCGGGTGGGCGGTGCAGCACGACTGAGCTCGAGTAAAGAGAGTGAACGCTCATGCGGGATACGCTAAAACACGAAACATGCCCCAACTACCAAGACGTACCATCTCTCGAAGATAAAATTTAGAAAATAATAAATTATACATATTTTTCTCAAGTCTGTTGGATGCCGTGTTTTCTGTCTAACAATTAAAAAATATATAAAATTGCTCGTTAATTTTGTGACGTCAGCGGGTCAAAGTTGAACTCTTAGGAAACATGGTTGTGTAAGGTAACAGTCGGCTAGCGTAACGTAAAAGCTCTTACCAAAGCTCCATCTTTTGTAGCAGCACTGCAGGACAAGTTCAGCGCTCACCGACCAACATGTTACTCTCCTCAGTCCGGACTACCATCTTTTGCGGGTGTAGAAGTGCTGGCAAAGGATTTCAACACAGCAATGTGAGTATGTAGCTAGCGTTAGCTGCTAATATTAGCTAGCCAGGAAGAGAAGCATGAGAAGGTCAGGCATGATACTGCAGGTAATATAATTATGACACGATAATCAGGTATTTCCCCAGAACTAACCCATCTGTTAACTAACTGTCGTCTCACTCAGGTGTTGTTTTCATCGTTTGTTTAAGCTAGTTAGAGCATATAAGGTTACCTGGCTGTTGTTCCACTGCAGCAGTCACGTCCGCATGTATCAGTCAACAGTCAAATCAGAACTAGAAAATAACACCCAGTTTATTAATTAACCGACCTCGAGACTTTCGTTATAACCGAAATGTAAAGTTACATTTGCAATTTCCAATATTAAAATTTCCCCAAAGGACCAGAGACATCAAACCAACGCATCTGCAGTCCTGTTGTCCGGTACTGAACCCATTACTGGTCATTAAAACAAAGTGAATGTATCAGAAAAGATCTAACAGGAGAAAGGAGGTATTATGTAAGTTTATTAAGTGCTACTTGGCCAAAAGTACACACACACTAAAATATTACACCCACATGTTGACCTGGCCTGGTATATCAGGACATTGTCTTGTGTCATGAAACAGAAAAATGTGTTCAACAAACTGCTGTCACATGGTTTGACACACATTTGTGTTTAAATTATCACTGTATGTATGAATTCTGTAAAACTGCAACAATTAATCGATGTTTTGATTAGTTGCCAGCTGTTAAATAATTTCCCAACTACTTTGATAATAGAAGAATCAGTTTGGGTAAAGGTAAAAAAACAAAACAAAACAAAAAAAACCCTAAATTCTCTGATTCCAGCTTCTAAAAATGTGAAAATGTTTTGGTGTCTTTACTTCTCTATTACAATAATCTGAATATTTTTGGGTTGTGAACTAAACAAGACATTTGAGCTTTGGGAAACACTGATGTTTTTCACCATTTTCAGACATTGTATGGACCAAATAACTAATTGATAAATGTAGAAAATACTTGATAGAGTAATCAACAATGAAAATCATTCATTTTAACCCTATTCTTCAGTGTGTATACATTTTTGTTAAAGTAAATGTGGCTGTTTTTTAGGGATACAGATTTCAAAGTTGTTGTACTACAGATTTATTTCAAGTCTCCTCTCTCCCTTATTTACAACTTCAGCGGAGTCCACAGCTACGACAATGGCTCGTAAAGAGAAGTCAGAGCACCATCACAGCAGAGGCAGGAGCCTCCTCCACTCCGGCAGCAGCTACTGTCCCCAACGCGGCCACAAATCGCATCGTAGGACGCTGGTTACTGGGCTGCAGCGGGCTGGTTGTTGGGGCTATTGTCCTGGGTGGCGTCACAAGGTAAAAGTGACTTAAAAGTGCTGTGTCTGTATATACAATACTCCTCCTTGTGTTGAAGTGGTTTTGGTTTGTACTGAAGTGCATTTGTTTAATCAGGCTAACAGAATCTGGGCTCTCGATGGTTGACTGGCATCTGGTGAGAGAGATGAAGCCACCTCAGACACAAGCAGAGTGGGAGGCTGAGTTTTCCAAGTACCAGCAGTTTCCTGAATTTAAAATGTAAGGCCGCATCTTTTCTGTTTACTTTATTCAGATGCAACCCTTCACTAATAATCAAAACACAACTTTGTAACCTGCCTTCATTTTGAAATTAGTTAAATTGTCTTTAAAAAATGATCTGTTGTCATTACGTTTTCCCAGAATGAACCATGACATGACTCTGCCAGAGTTTAAATTTATCTTCTACATGGAGTGGGGTCATCGCATGTGGGGAAGGCTGGTTGGACTTGGGTACATCCTTCCCACCATTTATTTCTGGAGGAAAGGATACTTCAATCGCTCCATGAAGGGAAAAGTCCTCGGGCTTTGCGGATTTGTGTTCTTCCAGGTAAGACCCAATTCATCTGCAGTGATGAGAAAAGATCATAGGAAGTTTGTTCTTACTGTACCTCACTCTTCGTGTTAGTTTTTGTCGGAGCATGTTGGGCACAGTGTTTTACTTGTCCTTAAGTTTGTAGCCATGTTGTATGAATGACCGCATCATTGTGTGTCTTCTCAGGGCCTTCTGGGATGGTACATGGTAAAAAGTGGTCTTGAGGAGAAGCCTGAGTCTTATGACATCCCCCGGGTGAGCCAGTATCGTCTGAGTGCTCACCTTGGTTCTGCCTTGCTGCTGTACTGCGCCAGTCTCTGGACAGGGCTCACTCTGCTGCTGCCTGCACACAAGGTACAGAGGCAGTCTCTATGATAATATCAGTCTGAAAGTAATACAGTTTAACCTTAGTCGGTGGATTCAAATGTCAATGTCAGTTTTTGTTTTTCTATTTTATTTATGATGGCATCTGTTTGACAGTTGGCAGACACCAAACGTCTCATGCAGCTCAGGAGGTTTGCCAAGGGTACTGGTGGACTCGTCTTCCTTACTGCTCTTTCAGGTACGGTTTGTTCCTGTGTGAATGGAACATCAAAAACATAATGGAACAAATAGTTACTGGAGTACCTTCAGTTTCAAGCTTCTTTAAAGATACAGTTAGTAAGTTTTGTAACAATCTCTTTTTTGTCGTATTTGCTGGAACTCACTGCTTCCAGACAAAAGTCAATGAAACAGACCTGTCTGTCTGTACCTGGAAAGAAAAAGGAATCATGTTCCTCATCTTCCTCGTAGTTCCTCTGATGGCATTTTCTAGAATCCACCACAGCTGAAGGAAAACAGCCAATCAGAGCAGAGGAGTCTCAAACGCAGCTGTCAATCATATTAATCACTGTTGGAGAGCTGCATTTAAACTGTGAAACTAGGCAGCACTGATCAAAAATAAATCAAGGTTCTGTTACTGCACTGCCTGTTTCTCTCCTCAGATGTTTTCAGAGGCATATTTTAGTGTACTGTTTAGCTGTAAAATGAGAAGGTATGATCTGACTAGTTGGCGGTGCGCACTTTTGGCTTGACTGTTTTCACAGTCACAAACGCTCTCATTTTACAGCTAAACACTGCACTAAAATATGTTTCTAAAAACATTTGAGGAGAGAAATGAGGATCACTGTCTAGTTTTACAGTTTAACCGCAGTTCACAAGCAGTGATTGACATGATTGACAGCTGTGTTAAATAGGAGGAATCTTGCAAATGCCATTAGAAGCACAAAGAGGAGGCAGAATATAGTCTTCATATTTGAAGCTAAAGTAGTTCAGAACAGTTAACTGTAGAACTTGTAGAGAGTCAAGGGTGATATTATAAACAAATAGTTTGATGCTTACAGTTTCTGTATGAAGTCTAATGTTGTACACTGTTAAATAAAGATTAAATATAGATACAATGTAGTTCATAGATATGCATCTATTTGTAAACATTCACCAAATGCTTTTACAGGTGCTTTTGTTGCTGGTCTGGATGCTGGGCTGGTGTATAACTCCTTCCCTAAGATGGGTGAAAGATGGATCCCAGATGATCTTCTGTCTTTCTCACCGGCCCTTAAGAACTTGTTTGAAAATCCCACAACTGTGCAATTCGACCACAGAATATTGGTGTGTTACTATTTCTAAACAGATAAAATCTTATGGGCAACATTTCTACATAAATGAGACATTATTTGTAACTGTCTCTTAACTTCTCAGTAATTTGAGAGGCAGCTTTAAGTTGTTGACGGTTGTCTGTACTTACTTGTTTTTCTTCTAGGCCATCTCTTCTTTGACCGCAATTACAGGCCTCTATATGTTCTCAAGGCGGATGATGCTGCCCAGGAGGGCTAAGATCGCCATCAGCCTTCTCACAGCAATGGCCTATGGACAGGTGGGTTGTCAGTCTGCCCTGAGACATGTTAACTCAGTCTTGATATTTCTCAGTGTAACTAAACTCTGTGTTTGTATCTTCAGGTTGCGCTTGGTATCAGCACCCTGTTACTGTACGTCCCCACTCCACTGGCAGCAACTCACCAGTCCGGCTCTGTGGCTCTTCTCTCGCTGGCCATTTGGGTTCTGGCAGAGCTCCGCAAGATGCCCAAATAAATTCCTGCGCCTTATGGACAAATCCAATCCTTATTAGCCACACCTCAAGCCTCTAAGAGCCAGCAGTGTCATTGTGAATGAGGCTTTTGGAGAAAAAAGTGAAAAAATGGAAGGGTGAAAAACAGAGGAATGTTTGATTTAACAGTGGACAACACGGACATGCTGAAGTGTCTCTCCTGTGGTGTTGCACTGTTTCATCACATTGATATTAAAGCTGGAGTGTTGATAAAAAAATGTCAAGAATACATAGACTGAACCATGAAGATGACAACTTGATGTGAAGTGTTTTGTGAGCAGTAAAAAACCAACGCAGAAGTAAATTTTCAGTTTCTCTCCAGCTTTAATGACACAGCAACAGGATTTCCAGTGAAGGATATGCATTTGGGTTGCAGCCAGAATTTTGCAGGAATATTTTAAGTTAAGTTTTTTGTTCATGTGCACAGTTTTACCAGGATGTTTTGACTGAAAATTGAGTTACCTAGTGTCGGTTCACACACTGCCTATTAGTTGAATCAGATGTGGCTGTTGGGATTGTATGTATAATTATGTACATTTAAGTTATGAACTATTTCTTGGTGACATTGATGATGGAAAATAAGGTATAAAATATGCAGAATCTTGATTGTTGCTTTGCACTGTGTCTTTATAAATGTCTTATTTTATTAATAAAGATGATTCTGTACAGTCGTTAAAATTCAAACTCCTCAGTCCATTTTGCATAGTAACTGTGATTTTTATTTGTCTCTGTACAAAATATACACATTTTGAATATGTAATGCAACCAGTTGAGGCTAGCTAACTAGACAGTCAGTACAACAGGTTAGTAGGTTTTCATTGTTCTAGACACAGTACATGCGGGTATTGACAGGTTTTACTTGTGGTCAGGAATGGAAGTTAAAAACTATTGGCAAGGAACAATCAGAGCCAAACCACTTACCCCCCACAAATAAAAAAAAAAGCAGCAATAGAAAATAACTGCAGGGTTGGAAGTGCATATATTCATCAGGGCCATAGTGCACCCTTGTACTGTGCTCTGAGAGGTTGGATGAGTGGGAATGCGCTGATACGTGGTGGAGAACATTATTGCTATTCCATGCAGTCTCTCTGCATTTTAAAGACACTATATTCTATGTAATTACGGCTCGAGTGTCTCTGTTTCTTACGCCATCTTGGATTTGAGAGTCCAGTTTGAAAAGAAGCTAATTAACAAGTGGCTGCAAATAATTTGAATGTCTTTCAAATAATGTGGGTTTACAATCTGAACACTTCAGTTTGGACAATGTGCAGATTAACTACATTACCAATCCACCAAATTACATCCCTTCATCTCTGATTGCCCCTTGCCCCGCTTACTAGACAGCATCTCCCTCTCTCTTCACCCACAGGTGGGCTTCATGTCTTAACCTAGAGTGGCTTTATGTACCTCTTTAATATATATCTTCTCTTTGGTGTTACAGAAAGAGGGAGAATACAGAATAAGGGGGCACATAAAAAGAAACAACTAATAAACCATGTCGCTCTCACTAACAGTACACACACACATACTATGCCTCTTTGAAATTGGATGAGCCTAATTCAATGCAACAAGAGTTTTGAAATTTGTGTGGTAGAACCTGCTACAACCACATGACATTTCCGATTACAAGAAGTTCACAAGTACAATCTGCAATCTAATAAATTCCCCTTTGGATGTGTATTGGTAGACTAGTACAACGTTGGTATGCGAGTCCTGTGTTGAGAGAAGTTGGGATGGTCAAAACAACTTGTCAAGTACAGCGCAGTCCCCATGATGTACTGCCTAATATCACACCATTGGGAGTGCTAGAAAATGTACAACAGTCAATAGACACCTACAGCTAAGACTGTAATAGTTTGGAAGGCTCTGAATTATTCTACCAAAATCCCATGAATGGAGGTGGGTGTTGTCCCATTAGAGTCTTACACAGGTAAGATGGATGACATCTCTCTCTGATACACATGCGCACACACATACACAAAGGGTGAGGCACCTGTGAATGACTAGGAACAGCAGACAGACAAGCAGACTTTGGAGTATCTGTAAATACATAATTGGATATTAGTGACATCATGCGATATTGTAATCAGTTTCTCATGGAAAACAACACGTATGAACCTCCATCTGAAAAGCGGGTTCGCTTGGATCTCCGATTCGTCAGTTGTTTCCTCCGGGAGTGTCTTTCTCTCTCTCGTCCACAAGATGGTGGTAGATTCATTTCTATTTTTATGGCCGGTGCGCGAGCAGTCTAGGCTCCAGGGGAGGTATTACCCACATGCACAGAGGCAGGATCAGAATCACAAATCCAAATCTCAGCCATCACAGGAGAAAGGGGTAAAAGTGATCTTAGATCGAGGTTTCAGGGAAACTTCCTCCCTCTGAGTTCAGCCATTACAGGCTGCGATAGTTCCTCCATCAGTAATAGTAATAAATAAAACAGGTGGGGGGTCTTGCGTGTGCCGGTGCCTGTGAGCCCGCTGCTTGCCTTCTTTCTCTGTGCCTCTGGGGTAAAACTAAGGTTCTGCATGATGAGGAAGGGAGTTGGGGGAAACTCCATTGTCGCTTGGAGAAATGTCACTGGGGGTCCAGGAAGAGGGAGAGGGCCTCTCGGTGCCCTCAGGACTCACAGCTTTCAACAGACACACAAGCACAAGCTTGCAAGTCAGAAGACGGCCACACACACACACACAATCACATACTCTTTCTCTCTTTTCAATCCCGGTTCATCTTACACACACACTCCCCTCCCTGGTGCCAGCATACTCTCTGGTCCAGATTCTTAGATGACGTTGTCAAACAGCTGCATGGACTGCATGATGTTCTCATCCTAGACAGAGACAAAGGGTTTGGTTTAGGAGGCGTTTCTCCTTCTGTGTTACCCAAATTATTCACACTGGGGAAAGTGAGGATTAAAAGTATAGTTTGACATTTTACAGTGTTTTGCTTTGTGGCTGAGTTGGATGAGAAGATTGACAGTGTACCTCTCCTCTCAGGAGGTCCTCATGCTAAGCTAAGCTTACCGGCTCCTGGCTCTAGCTGCATACTTAATGCACAGGAAAGTGGTATCAATCTTCTCATCTGAGTCTGGGCAAGAATGCAAATAAGCATATTTAAATTTCGAACTGCTTCTTTAGGCCTTGATAATCCCCTTTTTCGCCACACCTTTTTGCATGACTCAATGAACTCTTCTATGGTGACCACGCCGTCTTTATTCCGGTCCATTTTCTGAAAGAAAAATATCGCAGGCAAGGATTTACTCACTAAAAAACTATTGTATGTTCAATATTTGTGTTCATTATCTTATAACAATATCTCTATCAGTAATATTTTTGAGTTTTTAAACAAAGATAAAATGAAAGGTTAATTGAAAATAAAGACGGTGGAGTTTGACCTGGAAGAAGCTCTCCACATGTTCTCTTGGAGCATCGTCCTGCATAGTGGGGTATGTGTACTTCCCCATCATGTCATAGATGGACCTCATGATGTCCAACATCTCCTGGAAAGTGAAGGATAAAAGTGAGAACACATTATTGAGGATGTAAAAGTTGTTGGACAACATAAAGACAGAAAGGTTTATACAAGTACAGAGGTCATAAATTCAAGAACTTGTTTTTTTGTTTTGCTTTATTTGATTAAAAAAATACCAACTAATATTTAGTATATTATAGACTGTTAATTTTATTCCATTTGTTGGTAAAATATGACATCTGGGATTATTTTCGTGCATGCCCAAAAGGAACTTGGTTATATAAGAGCATATAGCCACATGTACCACAGATTGATGAGTAGGACTGAGTGTTACAATCCCTGAAGTTTCTGCACTACATTACTACCATTTAGGCACATCTCAAGTTGTGTACCTAGACGTCACTGGGTGTTTTGGCCCTTTGTTACAACACACTCGCAGTCGAGGCAGGCACACACAGGGTAATTAGACCCGGGTGTGTGTCTTATGGTTTTCCAGACAGTATCTCATCTTTTCAGCCACAGCCAGTGACTGCTCCTTTCTGTGGCATTGGCGAGTTCTTTAATTGCCTTCCTTTGGGCCTGTCCTCTGACTCCCACTTCCCTTAAGAGCCTTGGAGTGGAACTGGCTGTGAAGCCCCTGCAACCCACCTCAACTGGACACACTTTTGCATTCTGTTCTTACTCCCCTGCTTCTGCTGCAAGGTTGGAGAATCTCGGCCTTTTGCATTTGTATGCCTCATCCACAACATCCTCCCAGGGGATCAACAGCTCAATGATGAAGACACACCGGCAGGAGTTAGACTAGAGGACAAGGTCTGGTCGCAAGTTGGTTGTTGTGATTTCAAATGAGGAGAGTCTGCGTTGTCTGGGTCTGGGTTGATACTCATTTCCTCGTCTCTGGCTGCATGTCATATGGTAGTTGTGGGAATGTTGTTCAGGCATTGATAGGCATCATCTGTTATCATTACTCTTTTGCACTCAAGTTCAGCTGCCAAACACCTCAGCAATCAGTTGTGTCACCAGGTGTACCTGCCTTCTGTTAAGCTGGCCTACAACCAATCAAGATTAGCTTAAGGGTTGCCAGAACTGCATGCTGGAGCCAGGCTGGATCCTCTCCCAGCCACAGACTTGGGTTTGCGGCAGAGAAAACATATTTGTACTCCATGAAATTTTCCTCCTCTTAAAACCATCCCTCATCCAGAGGCCTTGCATGGCTTGGAATATGGCTTTGGCACACCTGGCTGCTTCTTCTTGGTGGTGCACCACCAAGTGCTAGCATTCAGTTGGAGTAGTCTTTTGCCAGGTAGATTTCATTCCTTCCAGGCCAAAGCCCCCTCTGTCTTGTTGGACATGGCACATTGTATCCCGGTGTTATAGGGCGGATTTGGTGTCTAGTACTGCTCTGGCTCCACTTCTTCCCTGTTGCTAGAGTTGGAAAGACGGCTCTTACAACTGATCAGAGATTCTGTGAGTGTCATGTCTGGCCTTGCTTTGACACATTTGTATTTCTCTACCAAGCTAGAGAGTGGCAGTCAGAGGGCTGTATTCCCATAGAACCCTATGCTGCTGATGCTGCTGCTTCTCGGTAACCCAAGGCACTTCCTCACTTGTGAGTTCACCAGTCTCTCCAGCCAGATGACATAAGATACGGTGACCTCATAGATGGTGACTGGCCACTTTAGCCAGGGCAGCAGGCTGAACTGAACACTTGAAAGCTTCAGCCTTCTTGCAAGAGCAGTGTTGTTGATTTGCTTGAGGACGCTGACTGTATCCTGTTTGAGCTGTTTCACCTGCTCAGTGTCTTCTAGGTTTGCAATAATCATATTTCAAGGCTTTTGATAGAATTCTCCAGGACAGTCGATATCGTCTCATCGTTGATGCGGAACCTATAGCTGATGAGCCAGACCTTGGCGATGGGTAATATTGCAAGATTGCTGGGTTTAATCTCCATTCGTGCCCATTCGATATTTTCCTGGAGTTTACCCAGCAGGTGTTTGGTGCATGCTTTTACAGGATATTTTTTTACATACTGGTGTATTCAGTGACAAATATCCTGGCAGACAATTTCCACATCTGATTTCCACCAAAATTGAAATGTACAAAGATTAATGGGGTGCTTCCACATCCTCCCAAATACTGTGGACATGACCTCATACTCATTAGTAGATACAGCCTTGCTTAGAAGCCATTACAGCAAGTGATGTGTGTGTGAGTGTGTGTGTGTGCTTTACCTCTTTGGTGATGCAGCCATCTTTGTTCAGGTCATAAAGGTTGAAGGCCCAGTTTAACCGGTCATTAATGGTCCCTCTCAGGATGATAGACAGGCCAAATACAAAGTCCTGAGATAGATGGGAAACGATTTACTGTACTGTTTTAACATCACTTGAATCTTAACACAGTAAATCAAGTCAAATTTTCATCACAGTACAAAGCTCTGTGGGCAGGTATTCAGAGAGAATACATATTTGTGTAGATTCAGCCGTAGTAGCAAATTTCACCTGAGCACATATTAGCTCTCATCTCTAAAAAAAGGAAGCCAATATAAGAATAGAGCTCACCTCGAAACTAACTGAGCCGTTCTTGTTAGTGTCGAAGGCTTCAAACAGGAAATGTGCATACATACTTGAATCTGCAAAGGTAGAGACTTACAGTAACCCGTGTGCCCTCGAAACATGAAGCAAAGTCTTTGATCAGCTTGGATTAGCAGCCAGCTAAATATAGCCGAGATATAAGAATAATTTCAAATACAACTGGAGGCGAGTGGTTAACATTTCATCAAGCTAAACATCATAAAAATGAAAAATTGCCTCTCCTCTTTGCAGTGCATGGACCGTGGTTCAGCAGAGCAAATTTATAATGAGTTAATTATGTTCATTTCATTGTGATGATGAAAAGCTCCCTGTGTACCGCTACAGAATCAAATGAATGCCTTTATTTATGCTTATATCTGAAGTCTGTGAAATGAATGAAGGTAGGAAGACTGGTGTAAATTAAAGTATTACAGACACAGTTGGAGCTCTTCAGGTTAAGCGGTGGGAGTTGACAACTCACCTCCCTGCGGAAAGAACTGGGAGTAAATGGTCTTAAAGTTCTCCTCATTCACCACACCACTCGGACACTCCTGGAATACAGATGTGAATCGAGAAAACTCATTAGTTCCCACCCAGCACAGAATATATAAAGCACTACACGGTAACTTCACATCTTGCCAGACTTATACAGCTCTTAACTCCCATGATGATGCTACTAGAACCAGATTTCTTAGACTTATTTTTTAATTTGCAGTCTGCCTGATCACTCTCTTCTTCAGCCAGACCTACATTTTTGAAGCCCCTGTAGAGGACTTGGAGCTCCTTCTTGGTGAACTTAGTCTGCTCCTGCAGCTTGTCCATGCTCTCAGGGCGATGACACACAGTGGATAACTCAAAGTCATCTTCCACGCTGTCTGTGTGAGGGAGACACCAGTGTTAGTTTGCATTTATCATCACTGCGCCCTCACCAACCTCCAGGAGAGCCATCGCCTGGCCAATATATATTTTAATGAAGTCATCAAACTAATATTGAGCTCATCACATAGTATAAGGCAAAATATTATCCTACCCAATGTGGTTATTCCTGAGCGTCCTAACAATGTTAAAATATGATGTTAAGGTGAACAAGTCTATTCAGCCATTCTGCTAAAGTTTATGTTAACAGTGTGCAGCCTTATACATTGACTCATACAGTACTCAAATCTCAGTCACCTGTGTTAAAGTCCTGTGTTAACCCTCTTGCCCACCACATCTTACTACCATTGTGGACCCTATTGCTCTTTCTGCTATGCCACCTCACTTTCTAGCAGTATGTTTTTGAGCCTTTTCTCGTAAATTTACCATTTTAATGTCAGATTATATGTAGCTGCTGCGCAGCGATGGGTCAGGTCCGGGCATTTTTAGGCAATTCTGAGCAACCTCTGGAACCTAAGACAGTCATCTACCGCTCTGAGCTAATTGGCAAGTAGCAACTCAACAGTGGCTTCACAAACTGAGTAAGCCATTCAATATTGTGTAGGAAAGCAGCCGTCCATGCATGGAAAGGCAGATTTGAAACCACTGTAAAAAATTCAGTTATTAAGACAAAAATCTGAAAATACACATATTGCATCTAGACAGCATGGAGATGTTGGTAATTTGTTTGTAACAATGATTGATTTGCTCCATAAGTGAAAAACTGATGTTTAAAATTACCATTTTTACATTGACTCCAATTGTTCACATTAGAGCAAAATTCAAAATGCTGTCAAAAATTCAGTTTTTGAGATAAAATTCTGAAATTTTTGCATGTATATGTTTACAGTACTGTTTACAGTCAAACATTTTGATGCACTGTAGGCTCAATTTTTGATAAATCAAAAATCTGAGAAACATAGTTTTTGTAGGACAGTCTGAAGAGGCTCTGTAGCAAGTTTGGTGTCAATTTACATGATTATGATGAACTTCATAATTTTTAATAGTTTACAAAAGTTTCTTCAGTATTGGGGCTACAGTTTGATGAAAGTTGTGAAGTCGTAGCACGTATGGTTGATTTGTTATGAATTTTCAAAGTTTTGAACTTTAGACGCTTGCTGTAGCACCACCATCAGGACTATTGGCTTGAGTTTACAGCTGAGGATATCTGGCATGAGACTGGACCTTTGTGCAAAATTTGGTGAGTTCTCACCCATGGGAAGTATGATTTTCTCAGAAGAAGAAAGAAGAAAGAAGAAGAATATCTAGGATTACAATAGTGTCCTGACAGCTTAGCTGCCCGGACCCTAAAAATAGCCAAGATTGGCTAACACTAGCCCTAAACATGATCTCTTTGCCCTAATATTTACCGCTGACAACCTCAACATGCCACCATGACAAGTACTAGCCAATCACAGCATGCAGAGGGATCCATAATAGCTCGTTGCAGTGATAGCTGAATAGCTGCAGTGTGACCTTTTCCACATGGTTGCAAATAGAAACTCTGTTTTCTCCTAATTTTGAAGAGACAAGTATTTTCCAATCATCTTTGTTCAAGCACCGGCTACAGTACTTCAGATCACAAAGCAAAACAATATCTTTAAAGCATATATAAAATGACTGAGTTACTTGTGTGAAAAACTCAAGTTTAAGTATGCTAAGGAGAGATCTTTACTGAGGGAGTGAGAGAAGGTGGTTAACATTAATCAGAGTGGTAAAGACGAGACAATTTAAAAGGTGAGGAGACACACCCATGAACAGAAATTCCTCATCCCATCTGTTTCTCCAGAAAATAACTGTCAATAACTGTACACACACAGACAGACACACAGAGACACACACACACGTTCTATTGCCCAAGGGAACATAGCGCTTCGAATCACAAAATGTGAAAACAGGTCTGACCTATTAACAGCAATAGGAGAGTGTTGTTGAGTTTGTGGGTTGACTGTGTGTCTGTATGTTGTTTTATGTGTACACTGAATGTTTCGGTGGCTGTGTGTGTGTGTGTGTGTGTGTGTGTGTGTGTGCATGACTGCATCCACACAAGAATCTGCATGAGTTTTTGTAATTCACTTAAGAGTCGGGACACATGGAGGAAAGTAGAGATGTATAGAGAGTGAAGGAGCACTTGCTTTGACTGATAGAGGGGGCAGCCGAGGGCTGGCAGCATGGCAGCAGCTTGAGGAATCGCTGCTTTATGGTTTTTTTGCTTTGGCTGGTAGAAGGATTACCTGTAATAATCACCAACCATAGCACACAGGTTAGACACAAGTCTGCAAATTGTGTTTTCATACACACACACACACACATGCACACATGCCCTGTGAGGACCAAAAACGCACTCCATGCAAGGGACAGATGCAGCAACAGACTGATTCATGCCGTTTAGTCAAATTGCTAATTGCCTGCTGACCTGGCTCAGCGACGGGAGACCACGAGTACCACTTCAAACAGTAGATGATACCAGACAAAAGCAGCACAGTGTGACTCCTAGAAACACACAGTTTCGTGAATCAGTCTCTCATAGCACAATGCCACATTCAGCATACTGTATAAAAATACAGTGGAGAGTATCAATTCAAAGCACAAGTCAAACATCAACGGTTTTATTTCACAATCGGCTTAAGGACTTAATTTCACTTGCCAGACAAACGTCCTGCAAAACCACCTCTACCAGAGCCCATCACATCTACCACTGTAGCACCAGTTCACGTCAGAGCAAGCAAACGCCTATTTTGCCATGTTTCAGGGAATGATAATAAAAATCAGATGGGGGAAGTAAAACACATACGCACACATGAACCTATACTTACTCCTGCCTCTTAGTTTCCATGGTAACAGTCCCCTCACCCCTTTTAGCAGGACCCCAGCGGTCTGAGGGATGAAGGCCATGTCGGGGTGAAAACCAGTAAAACCACAGTACCTCCACAGACTATCTAGCCTCTGTGATGTACCACCCTGTTGTCCTCAGGGACTCTGGCCCCCCTGACCTGTGGCTCTGGCGTCATTTGGAGCCAGAACAGGATACCAGATTAATACATCCAGCCGCCTAGCACAGGCCCAGCCCTCCGCCTCAGGGTAGGGTCTGCTTGTGCACACAGCATATGTGTAATACATATACACATAAGCATATGTATAAGTAAATATGTTTTTTTATGTAGACCCAACAGCTGCCCATGACACAGAAATAAATATAGAATACTTTGACATCTGTCAAAGGGACAAAAATAAACCCAAGTAAGTTTTCAAAGATGCCTGATGGTAGCAAAGTAATCGCACTGTATTGCTGTAATGTTGGATCTGGTCGAGGTGAAGCTTATTGTTACTTAATGGCCTAATCTACTACACGTGAGATTGTTTGTCACTTGCTGTTCCCAGCGTCAAGAAAAATACCCCATGAATTTGAAAGTGGTCACAAAAAAATTCACAATTTCATTACGGCTGGGTAACTCCATGCAGAAGAAGATCATGTTATACAACTAAAAGCCCCAGAACAGCTACTAAATGGACTTTGGGGTGAGATATTTTTTGTCAGCTAATTTTAACTTACACTGCTGTTTGTTTACTTGTTAGATGTCACTTTAATTTATTGCAACAATGCATCATATTCACGTTAATCGTACAACTGTAACTACAGCTGTCACAAAAAGGTAGTGGAATTAAATTTGCAATATCTTAATTTGCTAGATACAATGAAGAAGTATACAGTAGCAAACAAAAATCACAAGTAAAGTCAAAATATATCAAAACTGTACCTACAAACAAACCTACTTCCAAATAGTGCTTAAAGGTTCTGTATACAATATTCAGAGCAAAAATATAGCAGCAAATAATTCTATGCTATGTAAAGATAAAGTGGAGTAATGGCGTCATGAGCAGAGAATGAAGTCATGCTCCTTCTGTGTGAGTTGTGGTCTGAGCTTCTCTGTACTTTGTTTTGGTCTGGTCTTGCCGCACTTACATGTTGGTGCCTGTGAGTCCCTGTGTGTGTATCCCACTGCTGGTTGCTGCCACTCTGCACTGTGCTTTTACTGCTGTTACTGCTGAAAATGCCATACAGATCCATGTATCCAGCACTGTTGTTGTTTGCACCGTTACCTGCTAGCCACCGGCTCAGCTACCTCTCTGGTGAGGACCATGTTCAGGTAATCCCAGCTCAGATTCTGAAACGTACATACATATTCTATATGTTGCATACAGCCCTATAGGGTATTAAGTTTGCTCTTGCAGAGCTTTAAAGATTTCATTGTTGATTAAATCTTTAATGCTAGTAATTGCAGTGAAATACATTTTTAAAGTGGCCTTCAGTTGTTATTGTGTTGCAGATGCAGCTTGTCTCTGGGTGTGAGCAGACAAATTTAATTCCTGAGGAGTGTTCAGAGGGCCTGGACGGAGATAGGCAAAAAAGAAAACCTTCATAATTTCTACTTCCTCTGCTCTGCATGGCACGCTGAGCTTGAAATACTTGTAAGGACCATGAAAGCTGAATCTACTGGAAACTGTCAATGCTTAGATATGCTTCTTTTAGGACTGAGACACCTTTTCCTCTCCTCCTGTCTCACAGCTCTCTTTCCATCTGCTGTGTTTCTTTCTCTGTAGTTTTGTCCTTTGCTGGTGATGAAATGTCTCGCTTATTGTGATGTCTTTGAGCAAACGTGGCCAAGTTTGTCTTGGAATAGAGATGTTTGATCTCAGAGGGATTAACCTAATTTTAATGTGCACAGGTATGTCTCTTTAAGGTCCCCTATATATTCTTAAATATGCCCTGATAACATCTTACAACACATCATCAACTGTATCAATCTATCTTAGAAACTAAGCCGCTGTTGTTTTTTTTTTTTTATTCCAAAGCTGATACAGGACTTAACATGGGAGTTGTAGCTAGTATTAATGTCATGGTTGAAAATGGCCCTTTGTTGAAAACAAGCACTACACTCATTACCCTATTGAAGTAACGTGATCAATTTATTCTCCAGCCTTTGAAGTTAAAATTGTTTTTTGAGTCGCACTGACAGTGAGGCCAGAAATTCTTTCATTTTGGCTTGAGTAGGCGGAAAAATAAAAACTGTCTATTCCTTATCAGACACGGGGGAAATGCAACTTTGTGTGTTCTTCAGCTGATGTGCGGCATTAAGTCATTCTTACCCGGCACGCCCTGTAGTGACTGTGGAATTAGAGTTCAATAGTTTTCCCCAGGGTACACTGACAAACCATCACAACTCTTCAGGAAATAATAAAACAGCTCTATTTTTAGCTTGATGGCAACACATTTTTGGCAATATCCAGTAACTTCTGAAGAGGCTGTGTGTTTCATAAACTCAAGAGATCTGAGGATTTTCTCAAGGCACAGAGACGCTATCAGCCGAAGTGAAGGCAGCACACATATTACAGTGATACAGTACACTGCAGATCCAACATTGAACCTTTCAGCTGTGATTTCTAGACCCTCCTGACACTGATGAGAAAAGCAGAATGTGCAATTCAAAAAAACAGTGCAGTTTTCACAACTACTAGGATAAAATTAGAACTTAGACACATCCTGGTGGTTTGGTCGGTTCTTCGTGTTGTCTGTGGTTTCAAATGAGGCCTGGGACCTTTACCTAATGTCGTTCATCTCCTCCCACGTCTTCTGCCTTTACTCGTAACTGCACTGCATCTATTTATTGCACTTCCTTTAATCTTGGGGACTCACAAGAGGCAAGAAAGAAATGAAACCTCAAAATCGATGCAGCAGGGGCACAGAGATCCTGATTTAAGTCCCTAATGGCTCCAGCATATGGCTCAAACTCCAAAACGTTAGCTCCCATAATGCATTTTTTTTTTTTGGAAGTGCCTCAATGTTTGCGTTGTATCCTCATACAGCGGTTTGTCTGTTACCTTGCAAAAATGCACATACAACAGTTTATGTCAAACAAGGACATTAAATACTTAAGGTAAAGTTACATAGTTTAGATTTAGGAAAATAAATATGGTGACAGTGTACCTTAAAATAACTCAATGTTCACATGGTTCCAAACGCTGGTCTTGTGGGGAAAAGTCCTTTGTTTTGTGACCCTACTACCGTATTACTTTCTTCTTTACTTCTGTCAGCACATTGGCCATGTGATCGCAGCCTTCCTGATTCCTTTGGTTATACAGGAATTATTGGCTCATTATTATGAGGATTATATACGAGTTGTGGTGCATTACTTTTCGCAGGTATACGTGTGAACAGTGCATGAGAACAGCCAGCTGTTTGGTATAAGCTCACATCTTCCCAACACCATGCCCAGTTGGACCCTGATGACATCACCAGGGTCTTTTTAGACTTTGGAAAACTACAAAGCTCTTCGTGATGAACACGTCGTGACGTCTTGATGTATAAAAATTGGTGGAGTTCTCCTATAAGTGGAAACAACAAAAAATATTCTGAAGAACACATCCTCATCACAGTAGAAGGGATAAGTAAAGGCTGCTTGATTGATTGGTTGATAACATAATCTGCAGACAGAAACCTTTAGTTGTAAGAAGGAAAGTATTAAAGGACAGTCTTTTTCCCAGGATGTATGGGCTTACATTAAGATATGTTTTGGACAGGAATTTTTCATTCAAATTTCTTTTTCAAGAAATTTTGAATCTCTTTTGTGTCATAAATGCAGCAAAAAATAATCTGGTTTTAACATTCTGCATACATGTGAGTGTAAAGGGTATTGATACACTGTACTGTCAGTCTCAGACAAAATCAAGCACACACACAAGCATAATTACACACACACACACACACACACACACACACACACACACACACGTACACTAGAGGGTGTGACAAACATGACAGCTATTTAGTGAAGAAATTAGGTCAAAGTACTTTGTTATGTTTCGTCCTAACAGACACATCAGAAGCACACAAACACATTATGCAGACACCCTGCTTTCCAGCTGAGTGTTTTCCTCCTAATGTCCCCTCACCAAATTCATCATTTTGACTTCTCACTCGGCGCCTCTCTCTTGATCGCTTACCATTTCTCTTACCTGCCGTGGAAAGGTCGATAAGCCCCAGAAAGTGCATCAGTTTGAGGGAGCTACAGACCACCAGGAGGATGCCCACAGTCTGCAGCCCCTCCACCTCCCACTTGTCTTGGAAGAACAGATGCATCCTTTCCCCCTGCCTCTCTCTTTCTCTGTTTCTGTCAACAAAAATCTTTCTCTTGCCCAGGGGCAACCACTTTCCCCCTCTCAGCTCCAACCAGGAATGCAACGTCTGTTTCTCTTCAATCTCTCCACTCAGTCTCCCTCTATATGCCGGTATTCCTCCATCCTAACTCTGCACGGCTCCCCGCCCGCTTTCTTCACTGAAGGTAGATTGTTATTCTCCTCGTTTCTTCATCGAGAACTGTAAGTGCGTGGCAGCAGGATTGTCGGCTTGCTGCTCCACCCCCGCTGCCTCCGAAGCTGTCAAAGGTTGTTTAAGTTCCAGGTGAAGTTCGGACGATTCACTGTGTGTGTCCTGGCAGGTTGATGCCAATTGTTTTCGGACTCTCTCTGCTTTTCCAGCTACTGACTCTCAAACTCTCCGTACTCTCTGCCTGTCCTCCCTCTCTTTCTCGCCTTACCTCCGTCACTCTCCTCCTGTCATGTCCCTCCCCATGTTTAATTGGGTCAGTGATGGGGCCGAGTGAAGGGGAGGGTAGGGGAGGGAGAGGAGAAAAGGAGGGAAGGAAAAGGATGGACGAGTACTACTTGTAGGTTAAGAGGGGAAACAGAAAGAGGGGACACAAAAGAAACAGATGAGATGAATAAATTGGGCGATGAGATAGACAGAAAAAGGAGGGGCAAGGTGGAGTGGATAAAAGGAGAAAATAACAGTAACCGCAATACGACAAGGACAGAATCCAAATTACAAATGAATCAAAAAGAGGTAGCAGGGGCGAAATGAAGGACAAAATTAGGAAAATAAGATGCAGAGAAAGACTAACAGGAGGGAGGAGGGAGACTGTGATGACTAAGAGGCGAAGCATCTGACCCAGCGGCTACTGTGGACAAACTCACAGATGTGGCAATCTCCCCTGAGTGTAAAGTCAACACACGTGCACACACAAACACACAGCCTGGAGTTGAAATCTGGCTATAACATGTATTGCATATGCAATCCAGCGCAGTGGGGAATATTTCAGTTGGGATGAGATGATATTGATGTCACATCTGGCACACTGACATCCTAACTGACAAACACAATCTCTGAAGAACTGGAACAGAAAAACTAGAAAAAAGAAAAATAAATAAAAGAATGAATCATGATGATGTATTTTGGTTGGCATGTAGAGTTTTCCAGACTTGCCATATGGATACCTGATATACCTGACATATGCATGACTAATTTTAAGTGCAGCAGCAAACAGAGATGGTAGGCTCATGAACCATCTGAAACATAATGATGAGCTGGGATGTGACAAAGGAAATTGTCACTCTTAATAGGAGTCGGGATGCGCTGAGGTAATACACTAGATCGTATCGACCCAGATCACAACCTTATTACTGTGACTGGTATGGGCCACATGCGAATGATGCGCGTTGAATACACTGTCTTTGTCAGTTTCATTATTAAAAAAGTAATCAATGTTTCCATTGTCAGTTTAATCAAGAGTCATTATGTCACAGTGGGCAGCAGACTACGCTTTTCGTCCCACGGCAACCCTGACCTTATATCACTTCCAAGGGGTTATGTCTGGGTCTGAGAAGTGAAGCCAATGTGGAAGTGGCTTGAACCTGCATTTTTTCTAATGGCCAGCAGAGAGCGACTCCACTGATTGAAAAAAGAAGTCAGACTAGTACAAGTCCCACTTAATTTATCACCTCTGTAAACATTCTCCTAATATATTTATGGTCTCAGTCGCTACAGCATGATGTTAATTTTGCAAGTTATGGTCCCATTTAGAGTAGAATGGACGATAAAACAGGGTATGCTTTAGGATGTGGCTACCTTGTGATAGACAAGCTGCTACCACGGCGACCTGTCAATCATTTCCTTGGGTTCTCCTCCACAGCTCCGTCCTCTGATGCAAATATGGTTACTTCTGGCTCCAAAAAACCAAGATGGCGATGGCCAAAATTCCAAAAGGGTGTTTCACAAACCAGTGGGTGACATCACGCTGGCTACGCCCATTTCTATTAATACAGTCCACCAGTATACCTTACATAAAAGTAATTCTAATAAGTTCCTTGCAGAGAGGTACACAGAATTTTCACTTTGTTTCTACCTCCTCTCCAGAATGATCCATGTAAGTGTCTTCTTTTTAAGATGATGCCATTTTTGTTTTTGTCTACCCAACAATTAGACTTCAAATCAAAAAAATTAAACTGTTTTCCGATCTGACACCACTATGGTTGAGGTTTGGTTAGGTTTAGGCACAAAAACAACTTGGTTAGGGTTATGAAAAGGGCATTGTTTAGGTTTAAATGCAGTAACTACTTGGTTAAGGTTAGGTTTGGGTCATAATCATAGTTGAAAGAAACCACAGTTGACATTAGGTAGGAAATATGAAAAGAACAATGGTCTTGTGAGTAGCAGTCTGATGTGTTGTTAAGCCATCCAACCACCCTGACCTCTTCTTCTTGCAGACCTTGTGGCTCTGTAAAAATGTCATAGAACTCTCACCTTTTCTCCCAACAGCCAAGACTCAAAATTACCACAGGTGCTTGAGGACTTTGTCACTCAAGCACAAATACTTATTGTAGAGTTGGCTCAACTTCTGGTTTTGCGAATCTTGTCTGGCGTACAACTTAAACTGGTTTGATTTTATGCTTTAGCTGAACTGGCAGTTATATTAGAAAATGTTCTGGCAAGAGTTACCTACATCAGCAACCTGTGCTGACGGCATCAAGGAGCTAAATCCAACTCATGCTGCATTACTAACAAGCAATATGACAATGGGTTGAACATAATGTTATCTTTTTCATGGAGCCACCAGTATCTGACAGGCCATGTGCATGTTACTGCTGAGCCGAGGTTGGCAACATGAAGGAGACTGAATCTCAGAAGACATGAGAGATGTTGTGTTTGTTTACTAGAAAGTTCGGGCATTTTTTGGGGTGACGAGATGGGACGAGAAGTCTCTGTCAAGCCTCTTTTATAAAGCCTGTTCAAGGCAGGAATGTTGCACCGTTATTTTGCATCATCAGTCTGTATTAAAATGTACGAACATCGAATGGGGGGTGGCATTGTTTTTCAGCAGTTAAGCCACCAGCAAAGGTAGAGCAGAACAGCGCTGAGTCTAATTATATTCCACTCTGGAGCAGCTGCTGAGTCAAGTGTGACACCTAGTGGTAAAATTCAGTCACCGGCCTTGTCTAAAATTTTTTACCCCAGCCCAGGATTTGCTGAAATGACTGATGCTTTTGTTCTTCTTGAGAGGACAGTCTCTGAAATTGGTGTTGGAAGAGAATAAGTAAGATCACTGCATCCCTAAATAAGAAATGGCTAGGCTTCAACAAAAGTGGAAAGTGACACCCCTTGGCTTCAAAGTGCTCCATTACTTTCATCCTCTGCTCCATGTTCAATAACGCCCCCTGTTATCAAAACTGGAAGTGAATGCTCTACTGCGACGGGAGACAGAGGGATTTTTAATCCCTAGTGCTTTAAAAGCCTTGTCTTTATACTGTACATAGGCCATATATATACATCCATGCATCTTTCTGTCTGTGCCTGTGAGCAGGTCTGGTCAGCCCCAGATAGAAAGAAAGCAGGAGATGGAGGGTAAAGGGGAGGCTGTGGGATAGAGAGGTTTATGAAGGGCTTGATCTGTCTGCTGTGTGATTAATGATTCCCAGAGTCAAAATGAGACCTAGAGCCACAGTATAGCTGCTGAGCCTTGGGGAGCACACATCTTAGAGCAGCCTTGTGGGACTGAACAACCTACACTTAATCAGAGGCAGACTCATGCTCTTTGGTAAACAAAATGACAACAAGCAACGATCTTGGGTTCATGTTCAAAGTCAGGAACTGGGCTCATTGATGCTTAAAGTGTGCAACCATCAATCACTGTCATTTAATGTGAGTGAGTCAGCTGATGCAGTCGAGTGCTTCAAGTGCAATAAGGGAGACCTCGGGGCTTCTAATGGCACTGAAGGATCAGACGTTACAAAAGGCTCTTTATGATCACATAAACTGAGATGACTAAAAAGAACATAATGAAAAATGATCGTTAAATGAGAACTACTTCACAACTGGTCATCAACGTAGAGTTATAATCTACATAAAGTATTATATTACCCTATATTTTGCATGCATTGAAGGACACAGTTAATTAAACAGGCTTCATAAATTCCCAGATACAATGACATATTTAGGCCAGTAAATTCTCAAACACATTCTGCAGTGGGAGAGTCAAATCAAGGATGAAAGTGTGAGAGATTAAGGCTGGCTGCGCCTATCTGTCATTATCCCTTACACAAAGCATTAGGACATCTGTCATATACAGAGACAGAAATGTAAGATCAATATATTGCAAATAAACAAAAAAAATTCTCCCCTTTAACTTTAACTCAGATGTGAAGGCTCTGTGATTCCAGGAATATTGTAAGGCACTGACCTTTGAACTTGTTTCTGTTGTGGCGGTTGCTTCTAAGAATGGTAACATAAATTTTAGCTGACTTCACTGCTACAACGTTGTAACCCTATATGCATTGATCGAGTGGCTTGCAGGTCAAAAGATGTCTAGACGTCTAGGTTACTGTAAAACCACAGTGGGCTAAATTTGTTTGAGAAGAGAGTTTTTTATAAACGTCTAGATTACATATATGTAACCATTGTTTCGACAACATCTTAATGAGTCTATGTCAACACATGTTTAGGAGCTGCTTAAAACATGGTCATCCTTTATGATAAAACAATTACATAATCTAGACATCTAAACAAGAGTCTCCAGCAACGCTAGTGGCTCTGTGAGACCATACAGAACAGCTGTGCTTTGAGCTACATGCTCTACAATGTGCTCACAATGGAGATGCAAACATGCTGATGGTAATTAGGTGTTATGTTTACCATGTTTCCCATCATAGTTTAGCCTGTTAGCATGTTAACTTTTGCTAGTTAGCACTAAACACAAAGTCCAGCAGAGCTTGATGGAAATGTCATTAGTTTTGAATGTATTTGGTCACAAGTTTTGACCTAATGATGGCACTGCATGACAAGCCAAAGGGTTATCAAAGTGCTTACAATTCATCATACAGAGAGCATGAAATTACATGGCAATCCATGAAATAATTGTGGAGACATTCCACTCAAAACCACACATGTGAACCTTATGGTGGCACTACTGGAAAAGGTTCATTAGAATACATCCTCTGGGGATCATGAATATCTACAACATTTCATGGCAATCTGTCCAGTAGCCAAAGACTGACAAGACAAACCGAGAAATTGACATTGCCATCCCTGCAACATGATCTCATCTCTACTCGTTATACTTTGTCTCTTTAGCAGAAGACCAAGGCATTACTTAAACAATGACAGTGGCAGCCACATTTGAACGGCAGGTAAACGCTTCGTGTGTAGAGGTGGAACATATTGGCTGGAATGCAGTCTCAGAACACATTGGCTATAGACCGAATCACTGTGACTTCATGCTAACAGCTACAGGCACTTCCTGGTGGAAAACTGTAAACTGTTTGAATTGTGGAGACATGTGAAATCGGCAAACTTGTTTATTTCTGTTGTCATTTTCAGTCCCAGCTGTAACATTAAAATACATATAGTTAAACATGGTGCTCCATCCTATTTGAAGTTTCTGTTAAGCTTATTATATGTACTATGTGGCTTTGCTAGCGTCTTTCTGAAACCAAATCTAGCAGCACAGAAGCTAAACAATGTACTGTTGTGGATGGGGCCGCAGAAAAACATATTTAAGCCATCTAAAAATATCAATAGCAGTTTAAATGTACACTATAAATGAACTATTTTCACTGCTTTACCTCACACAATAGCAGATAGAGGCAGTGATGGACCGACAACACCGGCATTCTGTAAAGTAAA